TACAAATTTTTGCTAATTTCGCTGTGCTATTTGTTTGGTGCACGACAACACGATTGCGGCGTAACGATAACTTGATCTTGCTCGTCTCACTAGCATTCATCGACTTTGTCTACGCCGTTTTCCAGTTTCCCTACCTGATTATTCTGATTGCTGGAGCGAAACCTGATGGTCAGTTACCCTGAGTATTCTTAGGTTCCAAGGCATTGCACTGTTAAAATCATAGCATTAAAGGCACTACCCGCGATAAGTCGCGGAGCCCCACATTCTCAAAGAACAAATAGCCTGGGTCTGCACTGGGAGCGATTGCCACATACGCCGCGCCAAACGAAGTGACGCGGGTGCCCATGCAGCCATTCATCTCATTTGCACGACCCAGCTCCATGAGCCCGTACACCCCCATCCAGCCTCAGAAGGTAAGAGAAAACCTTCTGGAAAGAATACGTTGGAGGAAAGTGGTCAATAAAATACAGCTGCAATTACTTGCGGCGACTATATAATCCACAACACCATTGTCCAAAGATCTCATCCTGCCACTCCCTGTTGTCATTTGTCGCTGGGAAGAGGCCTTTATTCAGAGCATTTGGGGACTATCTTTTTCCTTTCATCCTCCCTCATACTTCTTAGCACCTTGGCATTCCTAACCCCCTCTCCTTATCCACGATCTCTGATCGGCCTGTGTTTACTTGAAATAGCGTTCAGAAGTCTTCGGCGAGACGGTACATCGGATGTGACTCCCTAATACTACATGCACAGTGTGCGTCCTTACAGTGACGCAAGGCAACTTTGGAAAAAAGAATCCACAGTGGAGGCGTTTCCCATTTTTTTAGCTTGATCACCTAGTGTTGAGAAATAATCGCAACGTGGCTCAATGAGCCGGAATTCACATGCTTTGGTCTACTCCAAAAAAGTTCTCCCACCACCATCTATCGCAAAGCTTATGGGTCGCAGGTAGTTCGCTTGTGAAGTGCGAAAAATTTTGATAGGTTGGGTCCCTAGTTCTGGCAAACATTTATCATTGAATGCAATGTAATTATGTCCATGGTACTCTGCGATGGCCAAATTGAACACCAGTGAGAAACACGAAAAGTGTTCGTGAAATTTTTTTGCTTTGACATAAGACCATGTGATATGGTATTTTAGGACTTACATTTACACCTCGGCAACCACTTGCAAATTATGCTGGTAAGTAGCGAGCAGCCATACACTGCTTTGAAGAAGGACCCTGATACTGTGAATTGTGGCAGTCAATTCCAAAACTGTGGTCGCTCTACGACTCTTCAAAGAAGGCTAGAAGAGCAGGAAGAAAAATTATGAAGAACATTCTAGGGCCTCCTGACAGGCTCATTGCGAGACTTCTCCGCATCTTTCCCTTTTGCCAGCAAAGCGGTACCCTGCCGCCTCCGACTCACTAATCGTCTCTTTGCCTCATCCAACGCTAATAAAAAGCCGAAAATACGGTGTTAAAACTGATTTCGCTGGCAGCAAATACCCTTTGAATTGCGGTGGGCGGCACAACAGAGAAGGCGTCGAAGCTGTCACTTTTGAGGGTAGCGCAGCATTCGTTCTTACTGTGAAGCCACAAAAGTGGGACAATTTTGGAGTAGACTATCAGCGACTGTAGACTACTTCTACAAGGAAAGAGGCCTATGGATAAGAACCTGTAGGCTGTCTTAAAAAAGCAACAGATGATGTTTAAAGGCTCTCACGATGAGATATAACTAAATTGAACTTTCCACTTTCAGAGATGCCAAATGCAATGTAGTGCGGTGTATAGTTTGTAACATAACAATCAGCCCGGGACGTCGTGTAGGGCGGGATGACTTTGCTCTACCAATGGTGATGGAGTAGTGACCAGTCTGATTGTGAGAAGAAAAAAAACCAGTGATGAAAGAGCCGCGGGTGAGGGTACACACACACACACTGCGGTAGGTTCTAGCCCTCTTCGCCATTGTTTTGCTATAGTAGCCTCCTAGCATTGAGGGTGCTTTTTGGACGTAGAAAAAGAACGGCGTGTGTAAAACTAACGGCACTGGGCGTCATAAACTGGGCCAGACATAACAATCTCTGCACAACAACCACAATACTGCCATAATTATTGAGACGAAACTGGCCATGCGAACTATATTTTTTTATTACCTTGAATAAACCTAAGCGTTCGACCATGGAAGGAAATTTGTTTACTTTGAAATAACAGTTAAGCAGTTTAATTCAGAAAGTAATCGCCATTATCATCGGTAACTCTGCCTTTTTTGGTCTCAATGAATCGGAATGCAATGAATCAGAATGCCCTTCTTTAAGAGCTCACTTGGTTGCGATTCGCAAGAAGCAGACGCCCATCGTCGGGCTCCTCTGACATCGTGGATTTTTCTCAACAAAGAGTGTTGCGTGGACCGACCTGACAAGAAGACGCAGCAATGCCAGTGATACACAGCAAGCGTAAAGAGAATTTTTCAGCCCACTTGCCTTCTACTGAAAAATCCCTGTCATCCAGGTTACTTTCGCGTCACTGAGTTTATGCAGAACCCATCCCCATTCTTGATTCGTTTGACGAACACGGATAATGAACGTCTTTCTTGCCTCACCCGAGTACTACCACCAGCTCCGACTTACCTTAGAACTTTTTTGCTCACTTCGTGGAATCGCCGCAGATGATTTTTCTCCTGACACTCCCATGTATACTTTGAAATCGCAGCAGCCACGATCAACATCAGCTTCACAACGCTGGCGTTTTTCCAACGAGATTGGCCAGTGACCGTGATTTTCAAAGGCAGTTCCACCTTGGTCGAAATCATAGTGCATGGAAGTGCTCACTTAGGATTTCTAGATCCAGCATTTTCCTAGAAAAAGTCTGAGAATAACAATTGTAGCGGAATGAAGAGCAAAAAAATAGTCACGTGTGGAGGCAAGAAAAATGAAGAGAGGGCGCATTTGTATATACTCAAACTCCTAATTCAAAACATCATGCATTGTCATCTCAACAGAAAATTTCCTCATATGAGACGGCATGAAAGACTGCTCCTCTCTCATTATCATTATTCTTCATCGTTTTATCGCTTTCAGTCTCTTGTTGATTTACCTTATGTGTTTTCACCAACTTTTCTTGAATTAACTCTAGCACCACATCCACTTGTAACGCTTGTTACAGCTTGCCTCACGTCCCATTTCTTGACTGCCCACAGACAAAATCCATTACAATTCTAGCAGAAATCCTTTTCTTGTGTGAGCACTCGAAAAAAAACGATTATGGATATGTCAGAAAAAAAATGCTCATGAGAAAAACCTACGCACTGCCATCAATTGCCTCATACCGGGTATTAACTGTGTTGCGTAATGTTCTCAGATGTTTTATGACAGTTACTTACAATGTAATATAGACAAGTGCAATATTAGACTCAGCTCGAAGCACAGGTGGAAGTGACGTAGTGACAACCGCATACCCTTTCAGTCAGCTCAATTCCAGGATTCGGGGAGAAATACACCAAAACTGCCATAGGGTGACCTCGGCTCCTCATTACACAGGTGAAGTCTCACCGAAAATGCAAGGATAATGGTCCAGACGGAACTTGAATGTGCTCTGATTTTCGTGAACGGCTGAAACTTTCCACAAGCATAAAAAAAGACCGAAACGTAAAGGCCCTAAAAGCGACGCTGAATATGGCTCGCATTCTTATCCGAGGCAACGCAAAGATCTTTCGATAGAAGTTCGCAAGCACTCTACGTCAGTTGCAGTCAAAACTTTATTGAAATTGAAGAAGTGAAACTCAACAGATAATGTCGATCTGTGAACATCGATGTGTCGTATGAAACACAGCGAGAAAGGCACCCAAGCAAGCTGCTTTCTGCACTTTTCCATACTTTTTCACTCTAACTAGAACAGCACAGAGAAAACCAACTTTGTTTCTGTGTCACATACAAGTGTTCCTGAAAGAACTTCAAGCTGCATGATACAAGAGATCTTCGCACAATGAAAACTGGCTACTGCGATGGTCAGCCTCTCCTTCGTCCATTGGTCGTCAAATAGTAATATCTTACGTGGAATTCTGATCTCTGAAAAGGTATAGTCACTAGGAATTTAATACTGTGTGTGAGGTGAGGGCTACCGTGTCTCTTGACCAGTGATCCATGCGCAAATCTTCTGACAGCCCGTCTTTGCCATACGCTGGAGCGCGTTGTTGCAGTGTAGGACGGCGTTCGACGTTTCTGATCGAAATCGGTAACGACGTCTGCCTTTCAGAGTTGATTAGAGTGTGTTATAGCGGCAGTGCAGTACAAGTGGGCGTCAGTTTCGAAGCATGCACGCACGGATTACACAATCCACTAGCCATTGTTACCAGCCCCAATATTTACCAAAAATTATTTTGAAGGCAAGGTAGAAGGCACAGGAAACCAGTACACAATCTTTCGGTTGGCTGCTGCAGCATATTTGGTATCGAGCGCAGAAGTTCTTGAGACATCAAGGAGTGGGGTTGGCTAACGTTTTTCGAGTAGATTAGAGTTGCTACTAAAGGTGGTTGCATTTGAATGTGTACACAGGTAGGTCATCACCTCTACCTCTCCCAAATAGCCAACTGAGAATTCGTTTAGCTTCAGAACAGGTATATTCTGCTACAATTACTAGTACCCTTTTGATACTGTGATATAATAGGGAACAACCTTCTTCAAACAGAGCAGGTATTAGGTTCCTTGACTTAAGCAGAATGCTCTTGCATGAACTAATAATATATTCTTGGTAGTAAAGAAGCAGGATCGACTGATGAGTTTCAGAGACAATGGGCGCGATTATTGTTTTCCGAAGAAGGGTTTATAAAGCAAAAAAGGACAATATGTACAAACGCGCCAAAGAGGGCATATTTAATGGGTTTAAAAGACTGGTCCGCCCAAATCACTGATTTATCTCGACTGTTGTTATTATCATCATTTTTAAATCTTCTATTGCAGGTGTCCCACAAAATTACGATCCACTGGCGATCATCCTGATAGCAGGTCCTTCGGCAGCTCTAATGAAATCCGGGTGCACCATCACAACAGCGATTGCCATTGATAGAGTACTGGCATTGTACTTCCCAATGTTGTACTATCAGCAGCCAAAGCAATGGTGAGTTCGAGTTTTTTTTATAACCCCACTGGTAGCAAGAGAGGAACCTTCATAAAAGTGTTGGGCAGGCCCATGTATAATGGAGTTTCTGTAAGTTGAGTGTTATTGCGAAAAAGCAGTCATGCCAACGCATTATATACCGGCAATTGAATAAAAATAATAAATAACAAATAACTGAATAATAATAATTGTAAGGATAATATGAGTAAGAAAAAATTTAAGAAGTTACGAAACGAAAAATATGAGCACACTAGAGCTACTTGATATCCCAATTACAATTGTTATCCTGTTTTGTGTTATGTTTATGTTATGTGTTAGGTTTTGGTGAAGATGACAAAAATTTGGCGGCCAATTAATAGTCACGATCACCATTGTGAGATGTCGCTTGTCGCAGACCACATATTGCGCTCTAATAGGCTGAACTTGAAAAGCATTGATTTCTCCCCTAAATCTAGCCTTAGCAAAGTTTACAAGTGAAGTCCTAACATTAGAGACGGTGCCGTAAGCAAACTGGCGCTAGACTGTCGTTAGTGCTGAACAGATATTGTCCCATGACTCAGGCCATCTAGCAATCATTGTGCAAAATTATAAGGACACTGGTGGAAAAGCTCCAGCGCCAGATCTTCCATCAAAATGCTGCCATAAGCGAGATCATGATACTGGTCAGCTCCAATATTCAAAGTTTCAACGAAACAGTTTTCGAAATGTTGCGGTAGGAGCTTGAATGATGTGGATTTCCTCTTTCAGTTGGTCAACTGGAGCTTTTGCTGTTTCGATCCTTCTAGCGATTGTCGACTGGGTGGTCCTTCACTCCATAGTGACCATTCAAGCGCAACCTTTCTGCAGTTCATTTGGCTGTTTCACTAATGATGTATGGTACATTTCACTATAAACTGAAGAGCTCATTTTTCAGAATTTTTCTTAAGGTTTTTCGTGCCTACTGGGGCCTATCAAATATGTTGGTGAATCTGTTGTCATGTCTCCTAACAATGTCGGTCATCTATAAACTCTACAGAGGCTCTCTGTTAGCTTACGAACTCGAAAGGCAGAACAAACACAAAATTGATAAGAGCGTGAGTTGTTTTCCAGCTGTGACACGAGCTTCCGACTTTCTGCAGCTTATCCCTGTAAATCATTTTCTGAATTCTGGAACATGTGCACGCATTTTCAAGCATGCGTGTCTTAGAACTCGTTACCAGACCGCGACAAATATCACGATAATCTTTATAAATAAAGATGATCAGCTGTCACA